GTATTTATATTGTAGCTATCTCCTAGTAAATTTTTTAAACTTAATATTCTTAAATTTATTTCATTTAATAGGTTTATACAGCCATTCCATATATAATGATGGTTTCTTGACTTGTAAAACAAAATGGCTGTTAGCTTAACATAATGGAGTATATTATTATTAATACATATATTAAACTACATTTTTTAAAATCACTGAAGTGTCGTATTCAATTGTGTCAACAAGTGAAACTTACCATCACATTTGCTGTGGTCTGTTGTGTTGATTAGGTAGCCATCATCACAAGAGCAAATAAAACTTCCAGGTGTATTTCTACAGCGTTGTTCACAAACAGGGTTGGTGGTATTGGCACATTCGTTAATGTCTATTTAAAATGAGTTTATGGTCATACATAATTTTATTAAATTACGTTAACTTTAAAACTATCTTTAGATTTTCATTTTAACTATTTATACTTTGTTTATTTTCAAAAAAATGGTTTCTTTTTCTTCTTAATTTTTTTGTGTTCGAAGGGATCCCCTCCAATATAATTAAGTGAACGTATCAACTGGTTATGAATCATTCAGGCCATTGACTCTGATTTCAGCCTGCTTTTATTTTTGGAGTTGGTTCAATAGCCTTTGTCCAACGAAGAACAAACTACAGTTGTTTGATTTTGGATGTGTCGAACCTAGATGAGTGGCTTTCGCAAGGTAACGAGCCTCATCTGCCCGAGGGTTCGAACTCGCGACTTTTCAGTTTAGCAACCATGAGCTTTACCGACTCGACCACGCCGACCCCAAAAAAAATGGTTTAATATTTGCGAAATATATATTTATTTTTTTTCAACACAAGTGGCGTAAAACGATTTATAATTTAATTCTTAACCATAATTATGTCACATGCATAAAGTATCTCCGTTAATAATACACAACATGGAAAAACTGACCGTCGCATTTGGTGCGGTCAGTTGTATTAACAGTGTAGCCATCTCGACACGTGCATCTAACGCTTCCAGGTGTATTAATACAATAATGTTCACACACAGGGTTTTTAGCATCGGCACATTCGTCGATGTCTAGAAAAATGTTTGTTTATGAACAGAAATGGTTTATTATCCAGCAAACTAAAAACTGATTTAGTTTAAAGTTTGTTTTTGTTTTTTTTTAATAATATCGTTTACAGTCTATTAAATTTTAAAGATGTTTCTATATTTTAAAAATCCAATATCTTTTTACGATTTTCAATTGAATAGTGTTTTATTTCCATTTACAATTTTAAAAGCCCATTAAGTTATTAATGATGTGTTATTTATATTTAAAAATTAACATATTGGAATTAACACTTAAGTTACACATTTTATTTCCATTTAAAATAAAAGTTGCCAGTCACTGAAGCATTGTATTCAATATAAAAATAAGTAAAACATACCATCACATTTGGTGTGGTCTGTTGTGTTGATTAGGTAGCCATCATCACATGAACAAACAAAACTTCCAGGTGTATTTCTACAGTGTTGTTCACACACAGGGTTGGTGGTATCGGCACATTCGTTGATTTCTGGTTTAAAGTTAGTTAACGATCATTTTTTAAAAATTATGACATCATTAAAACTCTCTTAGGGCTTCTCATTTATGATTTAATACCGTTTATTAACTTTGAAAAATTGTTAATATACTTGCGAACTCTAATAGTCGATCTGTTTTTAACTTAGCTGTCTCGAAAATATTTATTTCTAAAAAATATTTAGAATCTCATATTTATTTGGTTAAATTATTAAAACGAAACGGACCATCACATTTGGTGGGGTCAGTCGTGTTTATGTTGTAGCCATTTCTACACGTGCATCTAAAGCTTCCAGGTGTATTAATACAGAAATGTTCGCACACGGGTTTTTTAGTATCTGCACATTCGTTGATATCTAAAACAAATTGTTTATGAACGAACATAACGTATCATCCAAAACATCAAAAACATATTTAAGTTATAACATATATTCTGCTTATATTTCAATTATTGTATACTTTAATCGATTGGTTTAAATATTTCTTTTTGTTATTTTTTAACTTATTTCATGGTTTAGTTTAATTATAAATAATATTTCCACGTGTTGGTGTATCTTAGGAAATAATAAAAGACAAAAAAAATTAACTGACCATCACACTTGGTAGGGTCTGTTGTATTAATGTTGTAGCCATCTCCACAAGAACATTTAAAACTTCCAACTGTATTTGTACATTTTTGTTGGCATACAGGCGCGGTTGTATTTGCACACTCATTTATGTCTGGAAGAAATGAACGTTTCTAGTATCGTTTTTTATGAAATGTACCAATTGTTAAATTTATATTAACTTGAATATATCGATATCATTTAAAGTTGAAGCTGTAATCAGTCAAGTACACCATAAGAAAATACTGAAATATTTACAATTATTTACAATTTTTTTTAAGGATGAAACGAAATGAGCCACTACAATTTAATATTGAGCTATTCACTTGAATCAATTAAGGAGAAACTAAATTTGCCTCAGATGCTTGACTCACCAATACAATTTTTAGCATCACTGCTACTAATGAAATATCCACGCCTACATGAACACACATAGCTTCCATTTGTGTTGGTACAAATTTGTTGACATGGGCTTTTATTTTTATCACAACATTCATCGATGTCTGAAAATTATTTAATTTTATGGAATGGAAATAGCCAATTTCGTTCAGTTTAAAGTCTAAATTATTCCACTATGTGCTTACTTCACTTTTAATTATATTATTTTTACAATGCGTTTGTTTAAAATTCGTGTTTGCTTTCGTTTAAAATTGTAAAATGATAATTTAAATGCAAAATAAAACATTATATAGTAAAGTAATTGGATGATAAAGCGCACGTTTGCAAATCCAAAATCTCGAACTGAGTCTGCTGACAATTATTTTGTCCACCCAGTTCATCTTGGTATGTGAATTAAATCAATGTGGAATTTATTATTAGGCTTCGGACGTTGGTTTTGTGAATATATTTTCACTTTTGGACGATTCGTTTAATTTGCTCACATATTAGATACTATTTTTCAATGTTTAAGACTTCTTAGTACTATTTTCAGTTTATTTCTAGGAATGCTTTATTTGAGTGGTAGTTGTGGTAAAAGCATAGTTTGTGTGGTATATTATATTAAGGCTTAAATGTTTCAAAGAGTATAGTATTAGTTCTACTGTTAACAATAAGTGCAATGTTTGTATTAAATTTATATTAATATTATGGTCAGTTTACCGTCACATGAGTAGCAATAACATAAGATTTGAAAAAGCATAGGCTATACATTTATAATTGTACTATTCGGGATTAGTTTAGTTAACGATTTTTGCGAGGATATATATTTATATATATCATTTTTTTATTAATAAGGTTGCTTTTTTACACAGATTCTGTGATGTGTTCTAAATTTGACAATTACCTAATGTAACAGTGAGGCATTAAATAAATTGCTTCATGCATTTGGAATTAATATTTAATTTCCGAAACATATATGAGATAAAACCTGCTTAATATACAAAAGCTAGCGTTTTATTTCGTCAATAATGTGGCAAAATGTATTCCGTAGTTATTGAACTATCGGAATTCCGAAATTTAAAATATAAATTCAAATAAAACTGGTGTAACGTAAATCTAAACGCAGTTATTTTAACATTGTGACTCCGGTTTCAGCCAGCTTTTCTTTTTGGATTTGCTTGTATAGCTTTTATCCAACAAAGAGCAAACTACAAGGCAACAGTTGTTTGATTTTGGAGTTGCTGTCCCTAGCTAACGAGCCTCATCTGCCCGAGGGTTGGAAACTCGAGACTTTGTCATTTGGCAGCCATGAGCTTTACCGATTAGACCACGCCGACTCTTAAATGTTTTGATCATTGCGAAATTAAAACTCGCCTTCACATGTGTTTGGTTTTGTTTTACTGATGGCGTATCCAGGTCTACAGGAACATGAGTAGCTGCCAATTGTGTTGGTACATATCTGCTGACACGGTGACAACGATGAGCCTTTACATTCGTTAATGTCTGAAAAATAAATACATGTTGAAGAAAGGGAATAAGAACGTATTTTTTTTTAAATTGTAAAACAAAAATTTTACATTGTTGGATTAAGTCCTACCGTAGTTTCTTGGTGTATTTTGTCCCACGGTTAAGCTTGCTATAAAAGCTACATATAACAATTATCTGTCATTCATATCACATAGTAAAAATTTAAAACAATTTTAAAGAAAAGTTGTTTATCCATTTTTTGACATGACGTTACAACTTATTTTAACCGATGTTGATTGAGACTCACCAGAACATTTGTTTGGGTTAGTTTTACTGATGGCGTATCCAGGTTTACAAGAGCACGAATAGCCTCCAATTGTGTTGGTACATATCTGCTGACATGGAGGCTGATGTCGGTGGGTGCATTCGTTAACATCTAAAAGAAAATACACGTTCATCAAACGCTATAAAGTAATGCATTTTAAAAACGTTTCAACTGTTTTCTTGACATTTAATTCAAACGTATGTTTACACTAATTACACTAATTACACTAATTACACTAATTATACAAAGCTACCTATCTTTGCTAATATTATTAAGTTATTTATTTAGACACTACATATTCTTAAATATAACAAGAGCTATTACTAAAGATATTCATATCTTTAGATGTTCTGATTTATAAATGAAATGGAATTACCCATTTTCTATATACAGCTAAAATCAACATATTTTTAAATAATTTATTTGCATGTGTTTCACGCATCTTTTACTAGATCTGGTTATTTGAAGCATCCTTCTCTAAAATGATAGAGAGCCGATCTGATTTTTATGAAAATGCATGTTTAATCAAAACAAATCTTATATTAAATATCAACACATGTAGCAGTGAACAAAACAATCTTTACCTTAGTAAATATTAGGCAGTGAAGCTTATTACAATTTGATTATAGTAAAATTTACTAAACAGTTTTTTCAAAGATCGTTTCTTTACTATTTTATTGTAAGTCATTCGAATATATTTTTATTTTGTAAATATATCTACCATATATTTTACGTATACAACTGTTTAATAGCTAAACTTTTTAGAGTATTAGCTGTAAACAATATAACTCTACAAAAATAAGACAAAAATAATATATACAGTAAAAATTAGTAAAGTTCCCTGTCAAACCTGACGGTCTATGGAGCAAGTGAAGTAGAGTTCACTTGTTTCTGTGACCTCGGCATATGAAGAGATAGTGTGGTTAGCACTATGCCCAGAAAAATAACATATGGAACGGATTATTGCTGGTATTAAGAGTTATACTTTCTCTACCATCTCTAAACATTGAGCAAGCACGTATATATATATATATATTACCGAGACATCTATAAGGATTGCTCATGCTGATTACGTAGCCATTTCTACATGAACAGGGCCGGCCTCTTTGTAAGTAATGGGTAAAATGCTCACATCGTGGTCTCCAGCACAAAACTGTTGGAATGGAACACACTACAAATTAATCTGTAAAGAGGACCATTTGAGTCGAAGTCTTATTTACTCCTTAATATAATTAAAAATTCTTTTTTTTTAAATAACGTTAATGCTAAAGCACTTAGCGTATGTTCGAGTTGCCAACCAACTGCTTAACACGAATACTTTGTTTTAGTGCTTTAGCAATTGGCAATGTTTCTTAAGTGTTTTTGGTAATTGTTGGTTCTTAATCAAGATTTATCATCGTGTCACAGAGCGTGTATTCGGCATTAAGTTTATAACATAAATGTGTTTGTGATAACTAGTAATAAAGTAAAGTTCCCTTTTCAAACTTGACGGCCTATAGGGCAAGTGAAGTAGAGTTCACTTGTATCTGTGACCTCGGCATATGAAAAGATAGTGTGGTCAGCACTATGCCCAGCCGCTTTTACTTTTCCTAACGCGAGTTAGGTACCCATCAGAGTTGGGTGGACTCAGGGACGTTTTACTGACTTGAACACCGATTCGAACTCGAGACTTGCAGTTTAGCAGTCCAACTATCTACCGCCAGACCACTCCGTCCCCTAATAAGTAGCAGCATGATGACAATAAGTTTGACACCTGAACTGTATAACTTGTTTGTTTAACTGAACTTACATCGTAATTTAATTTTAAAATAGTGTGTGGCTTTTACATTATGGTTTTGCTTTAGTCTTTGACTATATATACATCCTAAACAATTATTTTAAGACAGGTATGGCTGATTTGTGTTATGGAGTACGTTATGCGTCAAATTTGTAGGTAAATTATAAAATATTAAAAACAAATATTCCGTTGTCTTACCGTACATACTTTCTTGTTGCGAATTATGCTACTGCTTAAAGCTAGAAGTACGTTTAGTAATTTTATTACCAATACTAGCGTACCCGACCCCCGCGCGTTGCCGCGGGGATAGAAGAAAGTTTGACGAAATATATTAGGATTTCACCAACGCTTTATCAATTATAATTATATGTTCTTAGACGCGTGACCTACTTTTCTAAAACCTAGAGTGTACATTAATTAATATGGTAGAACACACTTCGGTGAGCGCCTCTGTGTAAGAGCGTAGAGGGGCGCTCTCATGCCCCCCCCCCCCCCGATTACACTACCGCATAGGCGCGGCGTACTACCCCTGGCTCCTTAAAACTAACAGGCGCCATCGGCCAAATAGCATCCTGTTAATAAAGATGCAGATTTCGTCATTCGCTAAAGTGACACAAATGATCAGGATTTTTTTCTTTAACACGTAAACAAATTATTTGACGTGTTTTAAATATCAGTGTGACTGATGCAATATGCTAGCGTTACTAATGGTCTATTATTAGATGCTCGATCTCTATTTCTGACTGGATTGTCTAATAATAGATGCTTATTGCATCATTCGCAAAGTGACGAAACTCTACAGTAGGCTCCTCATATTCAAAAAGTTATTTTTTCATCTGTCGCAAGGTGACGAAACTGTACAGAAGGATTTCCTCGCGTTACAAAGTTATTTTTAGAAGCCTGTTGTAGTTTTACTGCTGAATATAGTAGTACTCCTTACTCGCAATGCAGGACGCTCGATTAACGGATGCCAAGTGCCAACATAGTCGCTCTAAAACTCTGGGCGCCAAACCGTGTATTGACGAAAGTTGTACCCTATATGGCGCCGCCCATAAGAAACTTTAGTTTTCTTTTTCGCAGAAATATTCTCGGGAGTATTCTCATCTACTCCCTAAAGTTTCATGGTACTCGGATGAACCGCATCCGAGTTTTATTTTTTATGAACCGTGTATAGAGAAAAAAATCGCCCCCCCGGTGGTGTGCCGCCCTTGCAATATTAAACAATATTTTTTTGCAGAACCCTACCATTGAGTGATCTAATCATCTCCCCAAAGTTTCATGGTACACGGATGAACGGTGTGAACCCGAAATTTTATAAACCGTATATAGAGAAAAATCGCAGCCTCCCGTGGCGCCGCCCTTGCGAAATTAAAAATGATTTTTAAAGAACCTTTCCCTAGAGTTTTATAATGAACTCCCCAAAGTTTCATGCCTATCGGATAAACGTTGTCACTGCAATTCACTTTTATTATTTTTATATACCGTAAATAGAGAAAAATCGGACCCTCCTGTGGCGCCGCCCTTGCGAAATTAATTTTTTTTTTTACAGAACCCTTTCCTAGAGTAGTATAATGAACTCCCTAAAGTCTCATGATTATCGGATGAACGATGCCAAACCAAAATCGACTTTTATTTTTATATACCGTATATAGAAAAAAGCTAATCGCGCCCTGCCGGGGTGCCACCCATGCGAATTTGAAATATTTTTTTTCGCATAAACCTCCCCAGGAATATTCTCAACAACTTCCTAAGGTTTCATGCCTATCGGATGAACGGTGTCATTGCAATTCACTTTTATTATTTTTATATACCGTAAATAGAGAAAAATCGGACCCTCCCGTGGCGCCGCCCTTGCGAAATTAAAAATGATTTTTTTTACAGAACCCTTCCCTAGAGTGGTATGATGAACTCCCCAAAGTCTCATGGCTATCGGATTAACGATGCCAAACCAAAATAGACTTTTATTTTTATATACCGTATATAGAGAAAAACAAATCGCGCCCTACCGGGGCGCCACCCCTGCGAATTTGAATTTTTTTTTTTTCGCAGAAACCTACCCAGCAATATTCTCCACAACTTCCCAAAGTTTCACGGCGATGTGATAAGAGGTGTAGCAATGCATAAAAGACAAACAAACAAACAGACTCACAAACATACATTGCTTTTTATATATATATAGGCCTAGATAGAAGAAGCGAATGTTAAAACTGAACTTACCATGTTTAAAACCTAAGAAGGCAAGACATACAACTGATAAGTAAATTTGTGTACTTGTTAGTGGCATGTTTCCGGTGTCGCACTGCGAAAAATGAATTTATTTAAAAAACAAATTGTTAAAAGTAACGGTGTTCATTTAAACTCATTATTTTGTGTAGTGTAGGTTTATACTCCTTATTTCATATCTAACAACTACGATAATCTACACATTCTAAAACGAAATAAGCTTAATATATTTTATGTTTTTAAATATTCTAATATCATATATGAGGGCTTTTTTTACAAGTTTAAGAATTTTTCACAGAGTAGGTGATGAAATTTTCGAAACGCATGACTATTTCATAACACAGAAATGAACACATACAAACTAGCATTACTTAAATAATGTGTATAATAAGCATTGATAAACATATTTATCTTGAAACTAAAATAACAGATGAGGTGGCTTAAAAAAAAGAATATAAATATATATATATATGTATATATATATATATATATATATATATATATATATATATATATATATATATATATATATATATATATATATATATATATATATATATATATATATGATACGCGACTAATTAAAATGTATACGATTAAAAATTAAAGCCATTTCTAAAGTATACATTTAATCGTCATAATCGTTCTTAGTTTACATTTGCAGCAATTTCTAAAGAACTAGAGTGTGCGATTTGTCCGAGTGAAATATTTACACGGTCTTAAGTCTTGTTGCAATTTCTTACACTTATTATTCAGTATACTATACTATCACAAAATGTGCGAGCATATACTATTGTCGACCATATTTTTCGTTTTCAAAATAGGGTTGAATAATTTCTTTTGTTAACTTTTAGCCGGCCTGAATTTTCGTCGTGTAAATATGTATATATGTATAAGTAAATTATACGTATATAGATATGCTAATTTTTAAATATTTATTTATTTCACAATAGATAACAATGTTTGACAAGTAGATAGATTATAATAATGTAATTTAATTGCATATGTGATATACAAATTTTATGTCAAAAAGATAGTAACTTTCTACAATATAAAAAAAACAACTATCATTTAAAATTGAATGTAATATAAGTAACTTACTAACCTGTGTTAACTCAATGTTAGAAAATGGCAGACACCTAAATCAGCCCTTTGCAACAGAACAGCTTCAAGCTTGAGCCGGCACTGTTGTATTATCACCACAGAGCAGATTAACCTATTTAACACTTTGTCGAGGCCACTTCTTGATTTACCAGACCGTAGTTAATTTAAAAAAATGTGCAGTGGTGTACACGTATTATGTCACTCTGACATTTCCGTGCAATAATTGCATTGCATATAATCCATCAACACTATTGAGCTGTCTAAAAATAAATCTTAACATTTTATTTAATGAATTCAAACATTCCGATGCATTATTTGTGTGTTCATTAACACGAATAGTTAAGTGCATCAAGTTTATTGCAAGTGTTACGCCTTTAACAGAAATAAGTCAAGCGTGGCACTTATGTGCGTATGTTTGCTGTGAATGGAATGTGTGGTATATGGAGAGATGTTACAAGAATGGGATATAGAAAATATATATTAATATATGTAATGTGCATGTGCGCGTCTACGTCTGTGTCTACGTCTGTGTCTACGTCTGTGTCTACGTCTGTGTCTACGTCTGTGTCTACGTCTACGTCTACGTCTATGTCTATGTCTATGTCTACGTCTGTGTCTATGTCTATGTCTATGTCTATGTCTATGTCTATGTCTATGTCTATGTCTATGTCTATGTCTATGTCTATGTCTATGTCTATGTCTATGTCTATGTCTATGTTTATGTCTATGTCTATGTCTATGTCTATGTCTATGTCTATGTCTATGTCTATGTCTATGTCTATGTCTATGTCTATGTCTATGTCTATGTCTATGTCTATGTCTATGTCTATGTCTATGTTTATGTCTATGTCTATGTCTATGTCTATGTCTATGTCTATGTCTATGTCTACGTCTACGTCTACGTCTACGTCTACGTCTATGTCTATGTCTATGTCTATGTCTATGTCTATGTCTACGTCTACGTCTACGTCTACGTCTACGTCTACGTCTACGTCTACGTCTACGTCTATGTCTACGTCTACGTCTACGTCTACGTCTACGTCTACGTCTACGTCTATGTCTATGTCTATGTCTATGTCTATGTCTATGTCTATGTCTATGTCTATGTCTATGTCTATGTCTATGTCTATGTCTATGTCTATGTCTATGTCTATGTCTATGTCTATGTCTACGTCTACGTCTACGTCTACGTCTACGTCTACGTCTACGTCTACGTCTACGTCTACGTCTACGTCTACGTCTACGTCTATGTCTATGTCTATGTCTATGTCTATGTCTATGTCTACGTCTACGTCTACGTCTACGTCTACGTCTACGTCTACGTCTACGTCTACGTCTACGTCTACGTCTACGTCTACGTCTACGTCTACGTCCACGTCCACGTCCACGTCCACGTCCACGTCCACGTCCACGTCCACGTCCACGTCCACGTCCACGTCCGTGTCCGTGTCCGTGTCCGTGTCCATGTCTGTGTCTATGTCTATATCCATGTCCATGTCAACGACAACGACAACGACAACGACAACGACAAAGTCTACGCCTACGCCTATGCCTGTGCCTATGCCTGTGCCTATGCCTGTGCCGATGCCGATGCCTATGCCTATGTCTATGCCTATGCCAATGCCTTTTTTAGTATCTTTTTATCTCTCTGTAACGGTATTCGATTCTGTATTCGCAACTGTCCTCGTACACGTACACGTACCTTAACACTTACCCTTTAATAACCCGCTGTGATTTTTTTATTATAATGAGATGTATTGTCATATTGTAATCCACAAGTGGGTTAAGTATTTAAAAATAATGATACTCGTAGTTTTAATGATTTATAGTATGTTTAGAATTATATTATATATAGAATAATGAGATATAAAACACCTGCTTTAAGTTCCATTTTGTCAGTCGAGTTTGAAGCGTTACTTGATGCCATGTTGAAAAGTTTTAATTCAACAGACATTCCCTATTTCGCTTGTACAATCAATATTGTGCTTAGCACTATGTATAAGGTAAAAATGTACGTTCTCACGTAATGAAACTATTACAAAAATCAAGTTTATTGCATGTTAACCAGTCTTCTAATTTCAAGTGGGTTTCACAGGGTGCAACTCTTTATGATCGACAATCTAAAAACTAAACAGAACGTCTTGCTTGGCTGGCTACACGCAGGTAAAGCTGCCAACATTTTAAATAGACGCACTTGTTGAATTGAGCAAAAAAGTTCACCCCTTGTTGAGTTTTGATAAAACATACCAGACGAGTAGATTTGAACATATATTGTTGGAACAAGCAAGGATTTATTTTTTTTTTCTTTGTGCGGCAGAACCTGTTAGAATTGACATGAGTTTATTCTATCACAATTTTTAAACAGATTTTAAAGTTCATTTTGTGTTAGAACAGCAACATGGTTGCATGTTGAAAATAGTTCTTGAACTTCACATGTAGAAATATTTGTTTGACTGTATTTTATGAGCTCAGCGAAGCATGTGTGTGTGTGCGTGAATGTGTGCTTGAGATAACACTATTCTCTCTCTTTCCCTCTCTATCTGTCTGTCTATCTCTCTATCTCTTTCTCTCTCTCTCTCTCTCTCTCTCTTCTCTCTCTCTTTCTATGTATGTATGTGAAAGTTTATTTTAACTTTTTAGTGATCTTCGGTTGTGGAATTGGTATTGTACTTGATTTCGTGTGAACATGATAACTTGAGTTCTGTTCCAGTTTGTTAAATGAAATTGTTTAATTATAATATTTTAACTTGGATTATTTTTCAAAGAACGTCTATAATGTGTTCCCATACAAAATATAGTACAGTGGTTCCCAACCTTTTTCGAGTGGCGACCCCCTTTTATAAAAAGTAAGTGACCCGCGACCCCCATAGAAATAAAAAAGTGGAAATTAATAAGCACTAAAAAAAGTTTTTTTTGTAGACTTTCAATAAGCAATTCTCTTGATAACTGTTTTAATAGCATGAGTAAAATTGCATACTATTCACTAAACCTTCTTGGTTAAAGTTTTAATTTTATAAAATTTTGTTAACGCCAACCTATGTCATTATAATTATCTTCATTTTGTTTTTAATCGAAGAATAGTGTTGAAAATATATTCTCGAAAAGTCAATAAATTTTACGTTTGGGTATGAATGGTGAATACTGCACTAAAATTGTGTCTGCAGTTTTTCATCTTACTCGGAATCATTCTGCAAATCAAAGAATTCATCTTGTAATTCATCGGGAATGCTGGCAACATCAAGGGAAGAAGAAAATGGGTAATGCGTAAATGCAGATTTCTTTTTTTTCAGCTCAGAGAAATAGCGCTGCAGTTCGTTTCCAAGAGATTCAAGAAGCCCAGAAATCGCTTCTTTCAAAATGTTAATTATCTCACAATCAGATTCATCTACCACACCGCAGAGTTTCTCAAATTTACAATATTTCCAAGATTTATTTTCTTTACGGATTTTGCAGCTTTGATAAAAATGCCCCGAGATAATCATGGAAAGTTATAATATTCGTTCATATTCCCTGAAGCTTCAGGTTAAGCTTATTTTGATGTACGAACACATCTGCTAGGTAAGATACTCTCTCCAACCACTCTATGTCGTTTTAAGTATACCAAAAGGTCTTGTTTCCTTTGCACTTCCAAGAACAATTTGATTTCAGATTTCAATTCAAAAACACAATTCACGGCATTTCGTTTGACAGCCAGCGTACTGTAGTGTAGAAGAGCAGAACCTCGTGATCTATATTAATGTTTTTGCTCAGTTCTATGAAGGCTCCAAATTTTACATAATTTACGACTTATACTAGCAATGGCGATTGGTGAGGGTAGTGGTTAGGGAGCTAAATCTTTTCTGTTTTCTGAAAGCCCGAATTTGAGCTAAACATAGATGGCGCACCATCCGTACAAACCCCCACAGCCGTTCGAACCCATTTTAATCATCCAGTTTCAAAAAAGGTATTTATTTTCTCCATGCTATCTTCACAAAAGAGCAACTCTTATTTGCTACCATCTGAATGAATATAGACAAAGACCAGCAACTGCGAACACGAACTCACATCTGTTGATTTATCAACTTGAAAAACAAACAATGGTGAAAGCTTAATTTCAATAAAAATGTGTTATTTAACATTTACGTACATGCAGCGTTTGATGAGATTTTCTCCTATTGTTTTTATTTTTTTGCTTGGCATTTTCTATCGCGACTTCATTTGATGCTTGCACAAAAGCTGGTGAAAACTTCCTGATCGATCAAGTCTCTTGCGTTTGCAGATGTTTGGAATGACTCTTCTCAAATGACGTTTTAGTTTTGAAGATTTCAACTGAGAACATCTTTGTACAAGGCGCTTTGTTTCTTCTCTATTACATTTCCAGTGATGTTAATAAAGCCGAATTTCAAAAATTCTTCTAAATATTTTTGTTTTGTTTCAAATTACTAAGGTTTAGTATACCAGTTGGCGACCCCCCAGAAAGCCCTTCGCGACCCCCAGGGGGGTCGCGACCCCCAGGTTGGGAACCCGTGATATAGTATAAAACCATAATCAAAATATACTTTTGAGCTGTGTTTATGTGTGAAAAAATAAAAATGATCGTTATAACGATAGCCATGTTATTAGTTAATACATTTTACAGTTTAAATGGTATTTTACAAAATTAGATAACATAATTAAAACATACAACCCATCATGATCTAACCAAGCTCTACAAGTTGAAAATTTTCTCGTCTTGTTTATCTTGCTACAACGCCCACGTCAATAAATGATATCATGTTTACCTGCGTCTCCCTTAACTACAGATCACTTGTAATGTCTGGAGCTGGCCGACCGTAAAACTTTGCACCCAGTCACCGACACACTTGAACAGTCTAGACGTTATTGCGCTTGAGGTTGTATATAATGTATTGTATAAGCGCTTGATCACGCGGTAACATTTTTATAACCTTTTATATCACCACTCAGGTTTTTCCCACGTTTTCTTTAACTTGCTTTCTCTGTTTGTGTGTTTGTCTTTCCAATCAAATCTTGCGATCGAAATTTCTGGCACTTCCCAGTTAGCTAGCGCGCTGAAATTTTCAGGGAAGCTTTCTTTTGGATGACCATTGAATATTCAATTGTTATTATTACTAAATTGATCAATGGAAACATTTTATTGAGCATTTTAGACCGCTATATAATCTATATATATAATTCTCCTCTGCTAGCCATTAGAAAAAAAACCAGCGACGCGTACCTCGCGCGCAGTGAAGCGAACGATCACATGTCGCCACAGGCTTAGGGGCAGAGAATTTAGCTTGAACCGAGTTTAAACTTACAGGAGCGACGCGTACCTCGCGCGCAGTGAAGCGAACGATCCCACTTCGCCACAGGCTTAGGGACAGATAATTTAGTTTGAACCGAGTTTAAACTTGCACGAGGTAGGCCAGTTTGGGGGAGACGATATGGTCGAGTGGTTGGGCACACGATTGCTATCCCACTCGACACGGGTTCAAATCTATGTGTTCTAGTCAGTAACGTATTCACACAACGTGTTTTTTACGAGTTGTCTTTTTACGAGTTGTCTTTTTACGAGTTGTCTTTTTACGAGTTGTCTTCGTTTACCCAAAAAAAGTGAAAAGATAAAATCGATAGCAAGATTTTAATGCAAACAAACAAAGACTAAAAAGTAGAAAATAATAATCATTAAAAAAGTTTTAAAAAACCCACGTTTTCTGATTGAACTAAAAAGTAGAAAATAAACGCTATACATCACAATAATGCAAGCGATCACTCTACTATAAGCGATCAAAAACGTGGGGCGCCGTGATTTTCTTACAGTTTCTAATACTGTTGACTCTCTACAAGCTCCCTAATAAAAGTCAATAGTATTATCTAATCAATAGTAATATAACTTTTACTTCGGCGCCCCACGTTTTTCATCGCTTATAGTAGAGTGATCGCTTGCATTATTGTGATGTATAGCGTTTATTTTCTACTTTTTAGTTCAATCAGAAAACGTGGGTTTTTTAAAACTTTTTTAATGATTATTATTTATTTTAAGGTATATTAGATGGTTTATATGTATATATATATATATATATATATATATATATATATATATATATATATATATATAAGAAATGTATGTTTGTGTGTGTGTGTGTGTGTCTGTTTGTCTGTCTTTTATGCATTACTACACCTCTCATCACATCGCCGTGAAACTTTGGGAAGTGGTTGTGAATATTCCTGGGGAGGTTTCTGCCAAAAAAAAAAAAAAAATTCAAATTCGCAGGGGCGGAGTGTTCTATAAGAAAATAATTTTTAATTTCACAAGGTCGGCGCCACGGGAGGGTGCGATTTTCCTCTATGTACGGTATATAAAAATAATAAAACTGAATTGCAGTGATACCGTTCATCCGATCGCCATCAAACTACAGGGACTTGATTAGAACACTCCAGGGAAGGGTTCTGTAAAAAAATCCTTTTATTTCGCAAGGGCGGCGCCACAGAAGGGTGCGATTTTCTCTATAAACGGTATATAAAAATAAACGTCGATTGCGGTTTCACGGCGTTATTCCGATCGCCATCAAACTTTGGGGAGTTGATTAGAACATTCCAGGGAAGGTTTCTGTAAAAAAAAATGGTGGGATTTTTCTCTATATACGGTATATAAAAATAAAAGACGATTGCCATAAAACTTTAGAGAGTTGATGAATACTCCCGAGAAGGTTTCTGGGGTGGGAGGGGAGAATAGGGGTGGGTAGGTGGTGGGGAAGATGGGATTTAATTTCGCATGCCCCCCCCCCCCCCCCCCCCCCGGTAGGATGCGATTTGGCGCCCTGCTCTTTCCCGTTAGCGCTATGGTGAAAACGTTCGGTCTAAACAGTGTGATAGACAATGGATAGGATGGGGCGTTACAAACGCTTACTAAATTGAATCAGGCGTGTCCTATGGCGCCCTGGTAGGGTGCAATTAGGCAGCAAATAAAAATGTCTGTTTCGGCCACCAAAGGCTCACATGGGTTGCTGAGGGTCATGTAATACGTTTTATTTTAATAATCAGAAAAATTAACTAAGGTTAGATTATTAACTGGGATGTTTCTTTTTGTCCGTAAAAAAAAATCCAAACAGTTTTGCCACTTTGCGAATGATGCAATTAGCATCTATTTTTAGATAATCCAAACAGAAATTGAGATCGAGCATCTAAGAATAGACCATTAGTAACGCTAACATATTGCATCAGTCACACTGATGTTTAAAACGCGTCAAAAAAATTTTACGTGTTAAATAACAAATCCTGTTCATTTGTGTCACTTTAGTGAATGACGCAATCTGCATCATTGTTAACAGGATGCTATTTTAAGGAGCCAGGGGTCGTACGCCGCGCCTATGCGGTAGTGTAATCGGGGGGTGGGTGGGGTGGGGGCGGCTTCTGAGAGAGGGTCTCTAAGTCTCTGACACATGGGCGGTCAACGAAGTGTGTTCTACCATATTATTTCGGTGAGTGATTAATGTACACTCAAGGTTTTCATGCGGTAGTGTTGGTAAACCCGTGTCCTGATATTTATGATCCAAGCGCAGGCATTGTCTAAGAACATATGATTGGCAACGCGTTGGTGAAATCCTTCTACTATATTTCGTCAAACTTTCTTCTATCCCCGCGGGGGACGGGTACGCTAGTTTAATATATTTTAAATTTAATACATGATAAAAGGAAACAGCTCACAAGCATTGCTGCACAAACAATTAGTCTATCAATTAATTTAATTAAACTAAAGTTAAGTTTTTAAATATTCTATTTGGCGCAGTTTTATTAGTTCTAACGATAGTTTCATAATGACGTTTCTACTGTGATGCAGTTTTAACGTTGAATAAACTATCAATGATATACTTGCGTCATTCTTAATACCAATCATTTATTAGTGCTATTACCCTACAGAAGTAGGGCTTGAAAAATAGAGTATTAGACTCATTATTATGCTCCTCTCCACGGAAATCTTTAGTAAAAGGCGAAAGATTTACGCGTTGTGAAGTGAAACCAGAGTTGCTAATATATGAAAAAAATTTGAACCAGATCTAACTCGAGTACAGATAAAAGTATAGTTTTTCAATTTTTGCATTTACGTTCATTATTTATCAATGCTATGACATTATCAATTTTGTTTACAGTTTTCTTATCTCATTATCTATTAACAAATGAAAACACATATTCTAAAATATAATTTATTGATAAATCGCAAAAATTATGGCAAATATAATATTCGTAATAATTTTAAGCTATATCTTTGAGTTATTTCCCTTTAGGTAATCCCATTAACTCCCTTATGATTTGTGGCTTGTAAAAAGTGAAATATATTAATTAAAATAAAAATAACATCACCCGAGTGTGGTCTATTAGCCTAGTAAAGAAAATACATCTTTTTCATCGCTGTTATTTACCATAAATGAGCTTTTATTTATCAAAAAATAGGTGTGACAAAACGTGGTTCATAAATCTTTACCACAACAAACTTAAGGTTACAACACTAATCAACATAGCCAATTTAACAAACACTAATATTGCAAGTACTGCCATACTACCAACGTAAAAATACAGAAAAAAAATCCATAAAAAACGTTTTAATAACAAGCTTTTATGTAATTATGTACTTAAAGGTAGAAAATAAAGGATTTTAGAAAAACAGGTTCATGCGTCTAGAAGTAGCCTACACATTGTGTGTTAATGAAATCCTCTTAAAAATATTTAGTCAGCCTTTCTTCTAAGACAGCAGAAACGCACTGGAAGGTAAGCTAGTATATATATATATATATATATATATATATATATATATATATATATATATATATATATATATATATATATATATAACTTGCCCATCATATGTCATTCTAATTTATATAAAACCTCATTTATCGGTACTTTTGCATACTTCTACGGAAACATCATCTTTCAACTCAAACAAAAATTTAAAAAAAAAACGATAGATGTGGAAAAGTTTTGAAGAAACCATGTAGGCCTATATGAGATGTCTCAGTCATGTGTTTTCTTTAATTACGTCCCACCGAGCCAGACAGAATTTCCTTCCCAGACTCTTGAAGCACGGCCTGTGATAGGGCGGAGACTTGAGTCCAATTAAAAAGTGATTGGCGAGAAGGTTGAAATTCAAATTGAATGAGTTCCCCCTCGCTTGACTCCAATGTACGTGATGTTGGTTGGTGTTTGTGTGTGTGGGGGGGGGGGGGTGAGTATGTATGTGTGAGGGTGTATGTGTGGGTGTGTGAGGGTATGTGAACTTGATTTAGAGACCGAGAGGGGGTGGGAATTTTGAGTGGTACTGAATTAGAGAATGTGAGAGGTTCTTGAAAAGTTGTGTGGGGTACACGGGAGGGGGGGGGGGTGTATTTGTGTAAGAAACTGAGAAATTGAGAGAGAGATTGCGAGTGTGTAAGTAAGCAAGTGTTTACTATGTAATTATTCGAGTAAGAATACGTTTGTGTGTGTGTGTATGTGGTGGGCTGTGTGTTTTGGCAAGTATGTTTATGTGTGAAAATGCGAGAGTACGTGCATGTTTGTGCAAACTAAAGTTTGTGTAATTGTGTACAAGATGATACTGTATACGATGGGATGTATTAGTCTGCATGTGTGTAAAAATACGAGAGTGTGCGAGTGTATATGAGATAGAGAAAAATAGTTCCGATTGAAGCATATTCAATTCTGGAAGAATGGATTACGTCATCACGTTTGGATTTTTTTTTAGAATATAATACTTTTATTTTCAAATAGAAATATTTACATCAGCATATACAAATGTGCTTGAGCGTTAATCTGTGACATAAATCAGACATGACATTTACAAATATTATTATTACATGAAGAAAATGGTGAACTGTATTAAATGTTTTTTTTAAAGTGGGCTTAAATGAACTATTAATAACTATTCAAATAAAACGACAATTAATAAAAGATCATAATTGCAGAAATTGCTGGTTTGTGTTCTATGAAATACTCTTATAATACTCTTAGAAACAATACCGAATACGAAATCAAACGATTCTAATGGCCTTTATTAACTGTCACTGTATTTTCCTTCTCAATTTAAAAAAAAAATATAATTTCCACTATTTTCTTCCTAAGATTCTAAATCCTTAATTACTCTCATTTGTTACCTCCCTTAGTTTTTTAATCTAAAAATAAACTCTCAGCCCATCACTTCCGCCCGTCCCTCGCCTGCGTCCACAGAGAGACGTCACGCTTTAAATACAGGTTGCCTGTCGGGATCATCAACGATTCTCCCCTAACGTCCGCGTAGCCCACATCTGCTAGATCGTTGACAGTTGCTCAGCACGGACCTAGTTCTGATTTTTTCTTTATTCCAAGATAGTAGATACACTGTTTCCTCCAGTTTAACATGGAGGACGTGACGTCACCGGAAGCTGGCGCTCTCCCAGATATCTAAGATTGGGTGTGAAATGTATTTTAAGAAATAAAGAAGGTAAAAAGATGAATGTAACATGGTATCGATATAACGGAAATGTAGACTTGATGATATATATAAACACACACTACCCGTAATGATATGTTGTATGTTAGTGTCTGGGTGTCTTTTTTTACACTCTTTCTCACTATAGATGTGTCCGTTTGAGTTAGTGTGGATGTTTGTATATGTGTGAACGTTTGGGTATTTATTGTTGTGTGTGTATGTGTGTTTGTGTGTTCATCTTCATTTACGTATACGTGTATTTATATGTGTCTATGCATATCTATGTGTGTGTGAATTCGATCGCACGTGTTTGTGAAAGTGTGTGAGTGCGTGCGTGCGTGCGTGGGCGTGTGTGTGTGCTTGTAAAAAACAGTCTTCTAGCTCTCATTCATAGATAGTTGTTTTTACAAAAAGACTATGCGTAAAATTACAATTCACGTTCATCGTAATTTACCGTAACACGACAATACCCAACAATAAAATCGGTTCTCTTCGGTTCTAAGTTTTAAATCAATAAATGTTGACATTACACCAAAAGAAAGGGAAGTAGGATACAGACTGATTTTTAATACAACTCCAGTTTCACGAAATTCAAAGTCAAATCAAGATGTTAAAATAACTTGTCAAACGTGTAAACAAAATATACAAGAAACTGAGAAACGCATTTATTTAGATTGTATATTAGTACAGAAAGCAAAGCAAACACTTGCGAAAATATTAAACACCACCAATCAAACAGCCACAACAAATAAAGCAATCACAATTAATTTAATTAACACGACTAGACAAAGAACAGAAGACGAAAACAGACTAGTAGCAACAGCTATTTATATATCGACTGTATGGCAAATTAGGAATAAATCCAGATATTTTTTCACAAAATACACGGATATCGAGTTTTTGCCTTACGTGTAAATGTAAATCGAACAGCAACAAAATCAATAGCTGACTACAAACGTTTTATACGTTTAATATTAAACGCAATCTTAGGTCTAAAACTAAGACTAAATCTATCTTAGGTCATATAAATCAAATGAAGACTGATTCACCTATTGGCACTAGGCGAGAAAAAGTCGTTTATAGGTCTACAACAAATTTGATAAAAATGAAGCCATACGGCAACAAATAAGACACCTAAAAATCTGACTTATTCGATTCTCTTTTAAAACGAAACCATTTCACTTAAAGAAAATTAGTTGGTTGCTGGCACTCAAGGTGACCAGATGAGACGAATCAGCCCCATTAATTTTGACTTCCTCCCGAGAAAAGTTTGAAGCAATTTTATTTTTATTTGGCAGTGCTGAAAAGGTTCACATTCATAGTTAATATACGGTTTGTTTGGAATGATTGTTTCTATAGAACGACGGTTTAGAATACACTTTACTTAGCGACAGGTCTTCATTGAAACATGTTCTACAAAAAGAATATATATATATATATATATATATATATATATATATATATATATATATATATATATATATATATATATATATATATATTTACGGTGCGTAAAATTGCGTGAAAAATTTAAATTTGCCGGATTAAAGCTTAATTGGTGGGGGGGGGGGGGGTATTTACAACTTTCGGTGGAGGTTCACTTAAACTTCAAGGGGGGGGGGGCATTACATAATGTATATGCTGTATCTATACATTGTACATTTTTCAATTTCTTCCTCGGGAAGGGATGAGGCTTTTACCTTGCCCCGAGAGATATGCCCGACTTAAGATGATTAAAACAATGTTTTCAACCCTCTTCATTTTAAAGCTTTAGGTACAAAGCTTATGCTTTACAGTTATCTTAATAGTTTATGCTATTAACTCTTTAAACAATCAAGTATGCCGATCTGTACATCATTTATTTAGGCAAACTACACAATTGTTTGGCTGTGTTTTCTGGACGCGTTTCGACAACCATAACTTTAAAACATCTCAGAATATAATCTGTGACACGTCATTTTACACACGAAAATATCATACCTGTGTTAAATAAACTATTAAAAATCGTTGAACACTAACTGCTAAAAGCGTTTTTTTAAACCTATCATTTTTTTCGTTATCGACATTTTCTGTTGACGTTAATATACTACAAGATTTTTCTGGCCATACATTACACGGACTTAATAAAACGTTTACGCTTATTTCTGCTCAGTAGCTCAACATTTGTTGATACCATAACTTGACACACAATCTAAAGATATGTCATAATGTTTTTTAGTTATAGTCTATGTAAAAGAAATAGAAAAACGCATGAACTGTTGTAAATGTTCGCCACAAAGACTTCCTTAACTGATAACTATAATTGATAACTGCAACTATAATGATAGATATCCCAATGTATACTTTTCATGATTATACACCATTGGAAATGGATAAAAAGCAAGTACTAAATTAATACATTTTAGGCTGAATACTATTGCCATTAAATGGATGCTAATGTTTTATTATGTCTAATCCTTTGTTTTTAGAACTTACAATTAGTTCATTTACTAAACATATGCCTTCGAAGGTGTGCATCAAAACATTACTACTTATTACTTAATTATAACTATGAAATAAACGTTTTGTCTATAAAAAATTCTTAAACTTTGTCTTGGTTAAATTTTACCGGCGACACGTTGGGTATATAACAGAGTTAAGACCGGATGGTACATTTATTTCTTAACATAATTTGATTTTAACGAAAGTTTTAGCAAGCGAAAACACAGCTAAATATTGAAAATAATTATTTAAATTATTATTATAATCGTTGTATATACTAACCACAATATCGCACTTTTGACCAGAAAATATACGTTTTTCAATAAATCAAGTATTGTTTACTTCCAAAAGTTCTGTAAGCTATTTCTATTTTAACATGCAATGTCTGTTAACTCCCACCCAACGATTGATTGGTTTATGTCCCATTATTGTCATGTGACTTTGAGGTCATAAAAATGGTGATAAACATGTGTTTTTTCAAGCACAATATCATTTTATATCAAAATAAATGATGAATTAATCATAATCTGCAAAAAAATATTATTAATTTTAAACTTATTATATATTTTCGAGTACGAAAATTAATGCTATCGCGTGATCGGCGAGACGCCGCCATCTTGCCGACTTTGCATTCATCCTCGGTCAGACCTCATGGAAAATGGAATTAGATTCTAATTATCTGCGTGAAAATGATTTAGATTCAAGTAACGAAGAAGTATAAGACCTTACTGATGTCCTAGACACTGGAGATAATGAAAATACAGTTTTGAACACTATGTTGAACTCTTTCTCTACACATCGTAAGTAACTCAGTTTTTATCGTTTTTTTCCTACTAATTTTTTGGCGATTTTTATAAATTTTTCTTTTTAATGATACTAATTAGTTATAAATGTGTAGTTAAAAGAACACTTCAATCATTTTACTATGTAACTAGCCTAGTTTTAGTTCATAGTATATGACAATTATTATATAATAGTAGTATTGGTAGCAGTACTGTCTACCGTCTAGAATGTAAACACAAATCAGCTGATCTTACATGGCTGTAATAAAAACTCAGTTTTCTTTTGTTACAAACAGTACTAACTTGTACTAACTTATTATAAATCACCTAACATTTATGATGAAATTATTATATGTAAAAATATTAAATAGAATCCATATTTTAAAAATTTACCCTTTTTTCTTTTCAACAGAACTGAGAATTTATAAAGGAAAAAAGGAGTGAATGGGTATCCCTTATCAACTGGGACTGTTACCTCCTGAGAAAGAACCAGGAATTCAGCTGGCTGAGATGAGGACAGGAGACAGTACAATGAAGTATATGTTTACTCAAACCTATTGTGTTTGTAAACTCTTCAGTGGATATTGTGACATACATTATGTCAATTTACCAATGGATATGTAAAGCGACGCAGATCACCTATCTGTCTCGGGATGGTTTAATTCGACACCTGATTAAATCTTACAGGTTTTATGGACTTATAATACGTTCTGGGTATTATCAACACTCATTTTGACAGATTCTGAAGCAAGAATTTACTCTATGCTCTACAATGGACTGCGGCTCAAGTTTTCATATCACGCTATTGCTTCAAAGGTGTCATGCTTTTTTAAAGATGTACTATCAAGATACCGAACCTACAGAGGACATATTATACAAATAATGCTCTCAACTTACATAAAAATTAAGTGCAGTAAATTGTTGTAGCTTTATATATTTCCATAGATAAGACAAAGGTTAGAAAGAATATTTTTCTTGACAATACATTATCATGCTTATGATTGTGGATAAGCCAACAGTGGGGTATGCAATTATGAGCTTTTGGCTGATCACTGACAGGTTACACATATGGTTTTGTTTTTTTATATTTTTTATTATTCTGGTCAGTGGGCCAGATGGGTTAGCTTATGTGGTGGATAGAAGTGATCAGTTAATAAAACTGTAATGTCCTTCGGTAAACAATTAAGTACTAGTAGTGTACTAGAACTAAATTTTTTCACCTCTGAGATATAACTAAAGTTAATTTCTGTATTTTACTTCAAGATTATTGAGAAAAGAATCCAGATATCTTAGGAAAAAAAATTCCAACATGGTATTGCCAATTACACTCTTTAAAAGTTAGTTGGAAAGTTAGGTAATATTTCACTTAACCATACTGTTTCTTTGGCTTGTAAGCCACCATTATTTTCCAATCATTCTATGAACCATACTATATCAGATTAGAATGAGGTTTTTAAATTGTTATTGTATTGATAAAAAAATATTAAAAGAATATAAGTTAAGTGTAGATAAGTGTATATGATACACTTTATGTTTACAAAAAGAAGGAAATTGTTTGTTTAGTTATCATGTGTGTTCACATTATTTATTAATTGAAGATCATTAAAAGCATCTGTTTTAATGTAATAAGAAGCACTGTAGATATTACAATTTGATTATTTCATTACATTGACTTATGTGTGTGTTTGATTACATGTTAACCTATGTTTGCCACTTTTAGAGTAAAAATGTTTGCGGAGAGGTCCAAATCATTTAAAGATCATCATAAGATCAATTAATTTGTGAAAAATCCATTTCTTGGCACAGTGCATTCAAAATTGTCACATTTATACATATATGGATGCAAGTCAATAAAATATACATATTAACCCAATAGCTCTTATCAATTATTTTTTTGCTTCTTGGGAACTGTTGATTTTAAAGTTTTTAATTATTTTTTAAAAATTAAACCATCAGATTTTAGGCTACAAAACTAAAACCAACTGTTAACACCTAAAAACTCTTCAGTAATATTAAAGACAAATCAAATACCTACACAATGATATTTAACACATGTGTGTGCTGATGCTCACTCTATACTTATGGTCAAAAGTTACAAGTATACTGCCGAACACTGAAAATATCACTAAAACCCTCAGTCTGTTAAGAGAAGTTTATACATAAGTTATCTTGCAAATAACAACAATTTAAATTACGTTTAATAAGTTGAATATAAATAGTTAAATATAAAATAACAGTTATCTTATATAATTTTCAAATACATCAAATTAAAAATACTGTTTTGTTAAAAAGCAAACTGACGTTTAGTTTTGAACAGTTCTTTGAAGGCTAGTAAATAAAAACACATTATTTATTACCGATAGTTTATCCTATTTGTATTTCCAATGATAGTTTACTTCAAATGGATCGTTACTATGTTTAACAATAGATAACAAATACTCTATCATCATTTATTAAATTGTTCTTTAGAAACATTAATATATACTTTTTTCATGTTTCTATTTATTTATGATTTACACAGGTGTCTTCTACAATGAAAAATATAACCATTACAAATTCAGAAACAAACGTATATGATGTTCCAGACACAGTCGTGTATTATTTGGATGTGACTTTTAACTGTGTCATCATTACACTTCTGTGTGTGACTGGTATTGTTGGGAACATCCTCACCGTTATGATTATTATTTACAACGGTTTTAGAGAAACAACAAATATTGTTTTATTAGCTTTGGCTGTGTCGGATATTATTTTTTCGTTGACAGAACTTTGTTATCAAATTACCCGCATTTTGAAACAGTTTGATAGAGTGACGTCTTTTGTAATGAAATCATACTATTTAGCTTATGTCTACGGATGGAATCAGTGCGCTGTTTGTCTTAGTGTCCAAATGGCTGCTTTAGTAGCTGTAGAGAGGATGATAGCTGTGGTCTTTCCATTTGCTGCCTCGAGATTACTTACACCATTTCGTGTCAAGTGTATCGTGATCACTATTTTTGCATTTACAGCTGTACTGTATATACCACGTTCATTTATGTATACACTGGTATGGTTGTACTATGATGAAGTAAATGGAACTCTTCCTGTAGTTGTCACAGGGGTATTTTTGAATGATTATTATTATATTTACATCATTTACGATAATGTGATAATAATTGCATACGCCGTTCTCTTTCCTAGCAGTATTATAGTAATAAGTACGATTTTAATTACTGTTAAGCTAATATCATCTCAAAGACGTATAAAGTCAATAGCTTCATCTGTAGTTCAGTCCAAGCGAATTAAGGATGGTTATTTGATTAAAATAACTTTATCTGTATGCTTATGTATGATTATTTTAGTCTTGATCCCATCAAATACATTTTATGTTATTTTTGATCACGTTGCAATGGGTTATAATACAAAGTGGGTTATTGATTGTTTTTTGAAATTAATTTATCAACTTAACGCTTCAATTGATTTTATTATCTATGTTACAATGAGCCCCAAGTTTTCAAAGACTTACAGGAAAATATTTAAGCTTAGATTAGCTAAATTCAGCTAATAACAACGGACAAAGCTATACAATACATGCAACTAAAGCACTTAATTAATATTTAAAAATCATATTTGAAACAATAAGCAATAACATATTTTGTGGACATTGTGCAATGTTTTTTTTATTAGGCATTGTGCAGCAAATGCATTAATTCATTTCGTTTTTTTGCCGGTTTATACTTCACATAAATAAGGTATATAGAAGAATACCATATCAGTGAAATAATAGCGACAGGGCATTGTGCTTACCACATTAACTGCTTGAATGACGATAAACTCTACATCGTGTGCCCCGACTGTCTTGGGCACATACGGGAAAAGATGATAAGATAGAAACATTATTTTCAACTTGTAGGTAACATGGGTTGCTTCTCTTAGATCACAGCAAACCAGATAGCATCTATTATGTAATTTATGACCTCATTCGTAAGCACTATGGCGCTTACGGTCGATTTAAAAAGTGCAATATGCTACGAATAAAATGAACCGCTATAGTCGCTCCTCCGGCAACCCGAATATTGCTATGTGTTTCCCCAGACTTCTTGGGTAACCATGGCAACTACGTTAGTGTTAAGTAACACCTTACAAACGGTGACAAAGGACATTCGATGATTAAACCGAGCCAAAGGCCTTACGTGGCGAGTCTACAGTAGTGAAACCCGAGGCTAAAGACAGCGCACCTCTCCGTCCAAGATACTTAGGCGGTCGCTGAAGTGGTATCTCACATTTAAGAAGAGTGATTGACGTTCACTTAAGGCTTTCATACAGGACGACCTGGTGTGTACTGGGCGGTATTGAGGGTAAACACGTGCATCGACATACATGATCCAAGAAATATAGCGAAAGCATTGTTTACAATTGAATAATGTGGTTTTAGAAAACAAGTTTACGCGTCTAAGAAAATAGGAATGGTAATACATTGCTAAAATTACTTAAAAGATTTTTTTCCAAAAATCGTGGCAACGCTCGGCGGAGTGCATGCCTGTAAATCAAATGCTTGTCATCAAACAACCACCCCCCCCCCATAGACCCCTCGGTATATATAAAGTATGAGCGGGGGCTGCAAATCGAAAGTTTTAGGGGTGGGGGTGCAAATCAAAAGTCTGAGGGGGTGGGGGGTGCAAATCGAAAGTTTGTCCCCGGGTAAAAATTGGACCCCACCCCCCTTGAGACGATCCTGGCTGCGCCACTGATTCACATGCGTTTTTTTAAACATTGGAAATTGCGTAAATTGCTACATCCGGTTAACGAAAATTACTCACGATTAAACAGAGGGCAGATATTTAGATCATTTACTTATAAGTGAAATTTCGTTTATTTATCTATCTAAAATAGACACTACTCGCTATAGGCTTTTGAAAAATGGAAAATAGAACACGTTTCACTTTCGGTTACCGGAAATTGCCGAAAAGCCGACACAGAACTACACATTTAATGTAACACGTAAATAATATTTTTTTTAATCTAGCTTTAATCGAGTTATTGAGTTCACACCCACCAACCAACACACACACACACACACACACATACACACACATTCACACAAACACAGACATAAAGACAAAATTACAAAACAATGTTTTACGACTGGAGAATGTGTAAAACTTCGAGATTTGTGAAAATCTCGATTTCAATTTTTTTTTGCACGATTACAATACATTCTATATACTTCGTATACGAGGAAAAAAAAGATCTTTAAGAAACGAATGCGTTTAATTAACATATGCGCACGTATATATTTATATACACAAAGATGTGAAATATTAGGGTTAGACTACTTAGAGCTTCACTCAGTCTCTAGTAAACTCACTTTAACTTAAGTCAGTAGTCAGAATAAAATCAAACGTTAACAAAGTGTAATGTAAACATACACATCCAGTTGTAAACAATGCAGACTATAAGAAAATATGCTAAGCTTTAAATCTGTCACAAATGTTGGCTGGAAAAAGGAATTTTTTTTTTACTAAAAAGTAAAAAAAAAATATTATTTATTATACATTATTGAAAATAAGCTTGCCTGCATAATTTAGAATAATTAACGCATTTAGATTTCTAGATTTAGTTTAAAGGTATTAGTTCTGTGAATGAAAAAAAATAAACAACAAAAAAGCAAAATTATTCCAAAATAGACATTTTTGAAAAATTAAATATTCCAAATAAGACATTTTGAAACCTCTATTAGCTTACATGATCCCTTAAAACTGTTGCTGTGTAAAACATTTGCTTTTTGTTATTGTTTGAGTTTTATTATTCAAATTATAGACAATTACAAAACATGTAGAATTAATTTTTGGGTAAAAAAAATATAAACACAATATATTAAAAATAAATTTGATTAACAGAGTCGTTTAGTCTGCTTGGATCGACTAGCACTTAACCCACGTACTGAATTCCAAATATTAGTATATGCATCCTAAGAGTACAGATATGGCGTAACAAAATTACAAATAACTTTTAGATATCTTTTACACTTTCCATCTTTATTGTTGCTGTTAACTGTTTCATGTTGAAAAATATCTGTTCACGTATTTTTCTGAATTCTATTTTCTGCTTATTAAAATTGTTTTTCATTATATTGTTGAACTTGTTATATTTTATCTCCTTTTTTCTGTTTAAATATTTGGTTAATTAATTGTAATATTTCGTTTACAATTTTTTTTTAATTTATTAAATCTGTATAGACAAGTCTTATCTAGAATAGCTGCCATCATCACGTTCTTTTACCGTTATGACCAAAAGACGGGCAGATGAAGTAGAGCTCATGTGTGTAAATGATCTCAGAACACAAGAGGATAAATTAGGTTGCCTTAATAACGTTCTACTGATTCTAATCAATTGAATAACCCTTATTCGAACTAGAATTTTAACTAGAACAACTGTCAACATGATCTTTTATCAATGTGACAGAGGGCATGGGGCAGATGAAGTAGAGTTTATCTATCTCCATGCCTTCGACAGACAAGGGGATAATGTGGTCAGCACTTTGTCTAACCGCATTTGTTTACCAGCGTGAGTTTTGTAGGTGTGGTCTCAGTGACGTTTGATTAATTTGAACTTTGTTTCGAACTCGAGACTTTCATGTTAACAGTCTAGCACTCTACCGCTAGGCCACTCTGTCAACATGCAATGCCTCAAATATTAGAAATACTTTGGGTTTGAACGACTTACCCTAAAATATATTTAGAAACTAATATATATATGGACAATATTAATGCAGGATCAAAATATAAGCTTTGAACATATTAAACACATTTTATAAAAATTGGAATATAATCAGTTTAAAATTAATCTAGGATTACATCAAATCCTATTTGTGTTATTGTTTCCAAATATATA